TTTTCCCAGCCAACGTCATCCTAATGACGTCAGCGATCACGTGCTACGAGTTCTAAAACTTTTCAAAGCGCTTGGACGATTCTGATTGGTTAATGGCTGTTGTTGTGTCTAATGACTTCTTGTTGCACGACTGATGTCTTAAGAAACTATCCTATGCTGTGAAACAGTGAAAGATTAAATAGTATTCTTCCTAGCATTATTTTATCAGCAAACTGAAATAAGTTTATTAAACATAAAAAATTATCATTTAAAGGCGACTATAGAATAAATAAATTATCCATTATATTTTCGTCATTGGTTATTACCTAAATGGTTGTTGAAGAAGAGCAACCAAATGTTGGAGTGCCCTCTCCAACATCATCTCCAGAGCTTGGATCTGCAAGTTCCCACAATGGCTCTGTTACACCAGAGATTAAAGTGGTTCCTCTGTCCGAACTGAGCAATATTTTTGCTAATGGTCTTTCAAAGAAAGAATCAGAGACTGTTTCGGAAAGCGAAGGTGATATTGACAATATTAGTCCTTCACCAGAGTGCTTGCCGGAAAATGTGGAACCAACGCTGGAAAACAAAGATATTACGAACAATAATAATGTAGATCAAGAACTGAATAACAGCAAAATAAATTCCTTGAATGATCAAGAGTCGGAAGTCATAACCACCAACATCGTCGCTGGCGGTGAGTAATTTGCTACGCGAAAATTATACTTTGGTGAAATTAGCCTAATTGAAAAAACGTTTGCTTTGATAGAAAATATGATTGTTTCGGCATCCATTCTTTCTCAAATGTTGTTTTAAATCTTACTATCAGTGTTTCTTCTCTGTTTGAAATTTTATCATTAATGCCTCTTTTAGGATCCATATAAGGAATTTTTATTCATATTGGAAAGATATGAATAAATAACCAAAATAAAGAGATAATTGCTTTATAAAAGTACCTTATATAGAATAATTAGTGAAAATACATTAATATAATGCATTTGAAAAGTTGTCATTTTTATATTTGAACTGAAAATATATTTTCGTATCTTTCAGTTATTTTGAATTTAAAAAATTTCATTTTTATGTGGGTTTCGAATTAAATAATTGCAATTCTAGGAGTAAATTTTTTTCGGAGATAATTTTATACTTGGTTTAAAAGAATATGATTTTCTAAACTCTACGTTGTAATAACGGATGTGAAACAAAGACTTTTTAAAACTATATTTCTTGACTCGAAACAAATGAAGAAGTTCCCTAATATTGTTGCGACCGAAATGCAATTCCTTCATAATACGATTTGTATTTATTTATGATATAAAATAAAATTTATCGTTTAAAAACATAACAGCCTCTTAAAGTTGAGTCTTAAATTAATTTTAATTAATTATTAAATTTTTAATTAAATTTTTTAATTATTAATTTTAATATATCCATCTTCTTACCGGATGGCAAGTATTAATTATAGTTGTGAATTTTACTCGCAAAAATTTTTTAATATCTTTATTTCATAAATACGTAAATAATTAAAACAATTATAATGTGGTTATTTTAAACATATTTTTTATTACGAAGACGCACTACTCTTCTTAGATAAATGCAGTAAATTATGGGGAAAATCTGTTGTTCTATTGGTTTTAAACATTTAAAGAATTCTTCAGAGAAATTAAACGATTGTCTGAAAACACGTTATTCTTAAAATTTCTACAAAAGACTTAAACGCAATCAATGATTTGCCTAAATTTCTATGCATATATCTATTCCGGGTTTGTGTTACTTATATACTACATCTGAAATCATTTTTTCTCTAATACATAATGTTCTCTACATTTCATGTCTGGCAAAGGTTAAAATTTAACGATAAAGTACGTAGTACAAATGTGTTAAAGATAGGCTGGTAACAGATGTTAAATAATGGTAGTTTAAAAATAATTCTTTTATTTAGTCTAATAAATTTGAATTATTTTATCTATTACAATAATGTATTTATTTTAATAAATGTAAATTAAAGTGTAATAAATGAAACATAACTACCTGTATTTTATCTCGTACGTGACCCGTATTTTTATCTCGTATATAGACGGAGGAATGAGTTATAATATTACAAGGACAATTTCATAAGGGTAAGTTAGTTTTATCAAAACCTTAATAAAGGCGGTTGAATTATTACATAGTAAAGGCTGGAGAGAATATTTCTGCGGTTACTAAAAACAGAGTTAAATATTGTTAATGCAAAGTTTCTGATCACAACTGATAATAATTGATTTTTTTCTGATAAGCTAAAAGAATAAAAAGAAAAGTTGGCCATAAAAATTTATTGATCAGGTTTGATACAGTAAATGGTGTTTATTTAGTATACGCATATTTCTGTAATTAGTACTCTGAAATATATCATTGCTGATAATGTTCTTTGCATAGTTGCTAGTACCTGCTTAACAGTGTAAAAATGTTTCGATGTTCAGCGAGTTAGAATTAATTTAATTGGTGTTTTCTGCCAGCTAAGAAAAGGAAACTTCTTACATTTTTTTTAGATTATTATTTTCAGTCTTTTTTTCGCTGTATATATTTAGAAGCAGTTGCATGATTTATTAAAATTTATCAACAACATGATTCATCTGCTTTCTTGATTTTTATAAATTAGGAAATAAAATTCAAATCTTCAAAAATAATTTGCAGCAGATTATTTTTAAAATATTTCGTAAATTATGGAAACAAAATATCATCATACTTAAAGTTTTACATATATTACTTTGCATAACTCTAACTACCTCCAGATTTTCTAATTTCATGTGTCGTTAAATATTATGTTACTTCTATGCGAATAAAATAAGGCATATGATATAAATCTGTTAAAATATAACAAAATGAAGTTTAAAATAAAATTAAATTAAAAAAATCGGAAAGTTTTTATATTATCCCCAAAGAGGCTTTTTTTAATGTTTTGTGTGTTTTCCTTAATTTATTAAATATCATGTTCTTCGTACTCAAACCAGAAAATCCAGGTCAACAGCAATAGTATTTAAAATATTTAAAAATAGCATATCTTTAGAATTTCCGATACACACTCTCGCGCGCTGGAGATGAAAATGTTTTTTTCCGTACAGTGTTGCCTTTTGCTCACTTTCAAATCGTTGAGTTTGTTAGTAAAAAATTCGTAAACGTTTTAGAAAATATGAAATAGATAATAAAACAAATTCCAAATTTGTGCTTCTAGATGCCCATATTCGTGTGGAGGATTACGTTTTTCATAGTTTGATATCTCTAGGACTGCTGTTTTTTCACAATGCGAAAAATATAGTACATACATTCATGCATATTCTTCATTATTTACTTTCTTTACATATAATGCAGGGATTTAATATTTGGTGGCAACAATTTGAAAAGTGAAACGCTGTTTTATAGTGGACGACGCAAAATTTCGAAACGAAATTAATAACTCTTCTAGGTAAATTGCCTTTTTGGGCTAATAATCGCAATTTGTACAGGGAATAAATTTATAATTTTCCTTATTCAGCGATGAAAACAAGCTCTTTTGGGTTTTTCTCCCTTAATGTGTGAATAATGTGACTCTGATAGTATCACAAATCAAGAAACAACACTGAGTTGATAAAATGCATTTAAGTAGAGCTAAAAGAAATTAATTAAAGAGCATGCATAATAAAATATAACGTCGCTGAAGCAGAGGATGTGCAACAAATCGTGACTCTACTACATTTTATTTACAATTTCATAAATAAAATATTTGAGTTTATTTTAGAACAATGGTCTTCAAACTGTGTTCCGCCAATCAAATCTCGGGGTTCCACGAGTCAAAATAAAAATTCGAAAAGAAAATTATGAACACCCACAGTAGTTAACTGGTGTTTATGAATTAAAAATAAAAAGATACATTTAGTTATCTTTGAAATGTAAGCACAGCCCAGTCACAAACCATAATGCAGCACGAATTAATACTATCAATGGGTAAATTACATAAATTTTATGTTAACATTTTTTAATAAAAAATACATTTCCTTAATTGTCTTTATATAAAGTACTTATAAAATATTGATCGACTTTAAAGATAATATTGATCTACTTTAAATATTATTGTAAGATATATTTTTCTAAGGTAGGGATGGAGCTCCTCAAACCAGTAATTCTAAGGGTTTCGTGAGTCGACAATGTTTGAAAACTGCTGTTTTAGATGAATAATTATTTTTAAATAACTAAGATACCTGCATGCTCTGAAACAGCTTGAATGGTTTCTGCATTCTGAACTAGATATCTTTCCTTAATTAAGGTAAAATAACACGCCGAACAATATTAATTTAGAAGTCAAATAACAAAAATCAGCATTGTATTTGCAACTCCTCAGCTACCAAACCGCAAATGAACCAAATTTGCACTTTAGCAGCTGAGGCTGAGGGTTCGGTAAAACCATCGAAACTAGTCCTGTGAAAATTTGTAAATATAACTCTGTTTTGTGTTATTTGACTTCTAAATTAATACCTTTACTTAATTGAATTAATTTTTGTCAAATATTAGATAGATCAGGATTTATACGGTCATAAAATGAAGTATATTCGTATTTCATAAAAGGGGAGAAAATTATTCAGATTTGAATTTCATCCTGTGAAGCAGATCCTCTGAGATATTTATTGAAACAATCTATGACATAATTTGAGAAAATTTGTGCTAAAATTGAAAGCATTTGATAGATTGCATTTTAAATAACAGCACCGTACTGTGGAGAAAATATACACTGCACGGAAGCAAAATAACTGTACAATTTTCAAAAATCGCTTTCTTTTTACCAGCATTGGTAGTATTCTAAGAATTAATAACGCCCAAATTACAAAGTAATGCAAAATTAGTTACAATATGCTTTACATTAGAATTTAGTTATAATTACGGGCAACGTAGTACATTATATGCAAGTTAATTTGGTACAAAAGCATAATAGAAAATTTAGTTGGACCATTCTGATTATGGATCTAAAGTAGTTTTACGATCCTCATAATTTTATTTTTAAATCTTTTTAGACGAGTTGAATGACGCCAAGGCCCACTTGAGCGATGCATCCCGCCGCATCCATGACATGGATATCGAGATCAAGAGGTTGGAGAATGAAAGAGAAGAACTGAGCATCGCGTACAGAGAAGCTGAGACATTGAGGAAACAGGAAGAAGCAAAAGCCCAGAGACTGAGTTCCGAGCTGGCATCGGTTCGTCATGAGTACGAGAGGAGACTCACTGCCAAAGAAGAAGAGCTCGAAGCCCTTAGGTTAGTTTTGTCACAATATATCACGAAATAGAACAGAGCTGACTAGAAATGGGACAGATCATAAATTTTCTTTAATCCGAATCAAGTCTATAGAAGATTCTCGAGTCCCTTGAATTTTTCGGTTCCTTCATATACGAAAGAGAAGGGGAAAAAAAGATAAAATGTTTTTACATAATTATGGGCAGTTATTAATAAAACTGAAATTCGTAATCTGCACTTAATTAAAAAATCGGAAGACTGATTTAAAAAATACTCCAATATTTATTAAGACAATGCAAATAAAATTTATTACATGTAGTACATAATTAAAATTCTTGAATCTGAAAATTAATTTTTACAATAAAATTTGGTAAAAAGCAGTTGAATAGCAGTTCCTATTTTTATATTTTCCTGGAATCCTTTTAAATCAATGAAAGTGTAAAGGGAAGGGAAGTATTTCAACAGTTAACAGAGATAGAGTAAGCATCGATGACTTAGTAGGACCACCAAGAGTTAAAATGAGCTGTCCAGATACACTCAAATTATAGCAATCACGCTCTGTGTTTAATGAATCAAAGCTTCTATCAACCATCAGTAAAACTCATCCTTCCAGAATTTTGACAAGTTCTACGCCCACACGAAATTTTATAATAAATTTGTGTATATAAACTACACAAAAGTAAATATTTGACTAAAAATGGATTTCATAACTGCATTTTTAAAAAACATTCATTTTCTGTGAATATATTTCCCAAGAAAATTACCAAACAATTTTAAGGGATCATGTATTAAGCATTTGCGTAATTTACTGCAAAAATGTGAAAAGTCCTTGTTGATTCTTAAAATGAAGTTTTCTATTGTTTTTATATTGTATTTAAAGGAAACAGATGGCCATTGAGATGGATCAGCTTAGCCAACGATTGGCAGAAGCCGAAGCTAAAGTTAAAACTGAAGTTGCCCGCATCAAGAAGAAGATGCAAGTCCAGATCACAGAGCTTGAGATGTCTTTGGATGTTGCCAACAAGCAAAACATTGATATGCAGAAGACCATCAAGATCCAGTCCACTAAGATAACGGTAATTACTTAGTTCCTTTAGTTACAAAAAGTTCGCTCAATTTTCACTCTGCTAATTAAGCTATTATTATATATCTTCTTACATAAAGGTACTTCACTCAGAGCTATTTCTTCGTTGTTGAAGAATTATCGCTTTGTAATTAACCAACTTTCCCATATCGATATATTAGAAACTAAATATGCTTTATTTACACTCTGCTGTACACCGCATTTCGTTGCTTTTATAAACTACATACTGAAAGACTCGCGCATCTAGCGGTAGTACTACGGCCTCGACCAATGCAAAGTAATGCAAACTTTTCTCGGAAGCAGCATCCGGAAGTTCATTCTAATACAGAAGAACTGCAGTTTATTTTAATTTTTTAAACACTTTTGAATGTTTTTAATTTACATAACCTAATTTCAGCTGACATATATGACGTAAAACAAAAGAAGACAGGAACACTATTTAACTGTTCATAAAACTAACTGACACAACTATATGCAAAATATTACTTCCTAACTAGGGAAACCAAACCTTTCGTATTGCGTTGCATCTCCGGTACGATGATTTGTTTAAATAGCTCGTAAACACAAAAAATAAAAGATTCAACTTTTTTTCCTCTATGTATTTGAATTCATAGGCCTACCAGTGGCCGAGCGGTAAAGTTCCTGAACATTGGTAGTTCGGTACGAGGTTCAAATCCCGCGAACGGGGTTGGCTGTATGGGCGTTTTCGTGGTTTTACACATGTGTAACGTATTAATACCAACCAGTTTCCCTTAGAAAGACTTCCTCGAAGGCATCCCTCCCTTCCGTGTAGTGCCGTAGAGCAGAACACGTAAATAACAATAATAATGTTCAGAGCCGGGACAAGGGTGTGGCAAATGAGGCACTTGCCTCAGGTGAATCACTAGAAGGGGCGCCAAATTGGCTATACGTATTCGAAAATGACTTTAATTATGTTTTTAAATTTGTCAGTTATTATTAGAAGGAATAAACTTCGGCAAACTTAAATTAATAAAACAATAGGAAGAATTACAAGAAAACCCGAAAATTAATGCAATGTACATTTCGATGTTATTTCTTAATTATCAAAAAAAATTTAACATTTTCATTTGAAAGTTATAAATAATTGGCTATATTTTTTTTCTTAATTTATAAAGCAACGATTAAAAATACTTTACGAATTATGGTATAATTACGATATAAGAAATATGATATTTTGATTTAATACAGTTACTTTTGTTTAATACAAATATAGCTATTTTGATATATATATATAGATAGATAGATAGATATAGATGGCACGCATTTACCTTTTTGCCTCAGATGAAAAAATATCTTATCCCGGCTCTGATTATATTTGGATTCATAGACTACAATAAGGAATGTTTATGTAAATAAGTATGAGATCTTTTTAAGTGTTATATGAGTATAAAATATTTTTTTAATATAAAAAATAACAAATTCGCAAACTTTTCTTGTTTAGTAAACGGAGGTCACTCAATGTCTGCAGGTCATTATTCTAATCTTGGTCTGCTTTTGACATTTTTCCCCCTTTAATGTTAAAATTCAAGGTTATTCGTAATTAATTCAGCATTGTTGAGGTTCTGATTATTACATTTTCCTTTTTTATGATTAGGAACTGCAATCCCACTACGATGAAGTCACCCGGCAACTGCAACAGTCTTTGGACCAACTGGGTGTATCACAACGAAGGTGCCAAGCCCTGACTGCTGAATTAGAAGAGCTTAGAGTGACCCTTGAACAGGTATGAACAAAATGAATAAATTAATGCGGTTCCTTAAATAGTTAATTTCCGAATTTCACTCGTTACCTTAAAGCAGTCTTCTTTCAGTCAAAATCGAGTTTTATGCAACTCAGCTCTATTTATATAAATAAAACTCAACTCTATTTATATAAATAAAACTCAACTCTATTTATATCTCGTAAAATAATCGTCTTTCCCGCCATCGAGCAACCTCTTAAGTGGTACGCTTCACGGCCAAATAATAAACTCAGCTCTATTTATAACTCAGCTCTATAAAACTCTACTCTGTTTATAACTCAGCTCTATAAAACTCTACTCTGTTTATAACTCAGCTCTATAAAACTCAGCTCTATTTATATCTGCTTTTTATAATAATGATAACTATACCGGATATAAGTATAGCACAGAAAATATAGTCATCTATTTTTAAGTATGCCGAACAATAATTTAATTATAGTACTTAGAGAAAATGAATAAAAAAATTGTAGCTGATAGTTATTCAAAATATGCTTGCATATCTTTAGTGCGTGTCTTTGGAAGCTTAATTTACACACGTATTTTTTAAACTGATTAATATATGAAAAATCGTTGATTTACCGAGATTTCAACTAAAAACAGTCTAAATTCCTATTAAAAACAGTTAAAGAATTAACATTAAAATTCTTTATTTGAACACAATAAATGCTAAAAGTTTTTCAGTATGGTTTGATTGAGTAGATTTTAATCTCTGAAGATTTTGCTTTTGAGTCATTCTTCATTCTATTCTGCTTTATTTTAATAAGCTTATATCCTTTTCTCCTCAAATTTCAGACTCAGAGGTCGAAACGTGCTATTGAGCAGTCTCTGGATGAATCTCAGTCCAAGGTATCTGAACTGAACACCTTAAACGTGAACCTTACATCTGCTAAAAGCAAATTGGAGAACGAATTCTTGTCCTTGCATAACGATTATGAGGAAATATCCAAGGAGCTTAGGGTAAATCATTATATTTTAATGCTGTATTTATAGATGATTTATCTCGCAATGGTTAAAATATCTAGTAAAAAAAAGGAAATAGTATGGTGTCCGAAAATGATACAAGTAAAGAGTAATTTAAATGAAGTACAAACACAAATGATAGTTACAGTAGAATGTAGAAATAGTATATGTATACATGTTACTCTGACGTAATATTTTACTCTAACATTTTTAAGAATTTGTTGTTTCTCGAAAAAATATATTCTGATACAATAGTTTCCTTCATTTATTATCAAAATAATTATTTAAAATTCACTAGTTGTGGTTGGTATGAATGTATACCGTATTCTACCATCTTAAATTGTCAGATAAATCCTAAATACTTTCAGTGTTTCTAAATCTGTGTATCTTCAAGTTAATTATGCAAAACTTATTGTGTCTATATCCTAATTCTATTCTTCCTTAATATTAACTACGTTGTTGCATTTATAAGAGATTTGTTTTTAAAGCTGATATTTTAAAGTTAAGTAATTTTGCAAGTGACTGTAATTAAATTTGCCACGCGCACACTTTTTAGATAATTAATGAAGACAATAAAAGGTAAGCTATTATAGCTAAGTATTATTTCCAAGGTGCTTTTTAAGAAAATCAATGAAAGTAAAAACAATACGCTGAGATGCGTATATCATTGTAGTTTTGCTTTTCTAATTATGCACTGAAATATTTCAGGTGTCTGATGAGAGATACAACCGTGTCGTTGTAGAACTGAAATCCACTAAAGATCTTTTGGTAGAGGAACAAGAGAGAATTGTGAAGATCGAATCCATTAAGAAGTCCCTGGAAGTGGAAGTCAGGAATCTGCAGATCCGTATTGAGGAAGTGGAAACCAATGCATTGGCTGGAGGAAGACGAGTCATTAGCAAGCTTGAATCTAGGGTACTTATACATATGTGAACTAACTACATTAACTCGCTTAGAACTTTCCTTAATATATGACAACCGAGCTCAGAAATTCAACTTTGCTTCCCACGTGTAGTATATGTATCTCATAATAAAATAACCATTTTCTTGCAGATCCGTGATATCGAACTGGAATTGGATGAAGAGAAGAAACGCCATGCTGAGACACAGAAGATGATGCGCAAGAAGGAGCACCGTGTCAAGGAGTTGTTGTTGCAGACCGAAGAGGACCATAAGACTATCACTATGCTTAATGATGCTGTCGAGAAACTGACTGAGAAGGTTAAAGTATACAAGAGGCAATTATCTGAACAGGTATAGTTGTCACATTTAACTGACTTTTAAATTAATTTACATTTTGTCCTTGTTTCTCTCTCTAACAATTTTTCCTCTTTTATTTCTTACTAATAAATTATTTAAAATTCTTTATTAAGTGTACGTTTTCTGTGGCTTAAAACGAACTCGCAAATGTAATAAAATGTAATTTTAACAGTATAGTGTATAACAATTGAAGAGCTATTTCTAACTATTAACAAATTAAATTTTCCCTCTCACCCCTCAGTATTACCTAAAAGCTATAATTTTTTAGTTATAGGTGATTTATCTGTACTAAATTGCGAAAGCATAATAATAATACAGATAACTTAACTTTATTCTACCTCACATCTTGTGAAGGTCAAATTAAGGATTAAACTTTAACGGCAGAGAAAAAAAGCTGGAAGGTAAAATTTTCTTGGATACAATCTAAATAATTCTTATCCACATTCGTTGCACAACTGGCCCACCAGGGGCGCAGCGATAAAGTCGCTGAACACTGGTAGTTCGACCGGGGTTCGAATCCTGGAGAATGGGTTGGCTACATGAGTGTTTTCGTGGTTTTCCCCCATGTGTAAATTACATACTAGCCAATTTTCATTGGAAAGTTCTTCACGAAGGCATTCCTTTTATTAGGCAGATAGCTCTCGTACGCTTTGTCATAATCAAATAAACCAAACCTTGTTGCACAACTAAAATATAAACCAATATGGAACTTACCACCTAGGCTAATGTCTGGTAATTCTAATTCCCTAGAGCAGCGGCGTTCGCTAATTAACAGGCAAGCACTATAGGCGTTTCTCACAGCCAAACATGTGCAACAAATGTGTACAAAAATGTATTACAACTCATATGATTATGAAATATTTCTCTGACTTTATACTAAACAGCTTACTAATCAAATCTGCAAAAATTTCAGGAATGAGTGAGTACATGGCGAAATGAGGCATAAAGAAAATGTTTAAATAAAAAATTAAACTTCTTGTTTAAACTGAACTAAAATCGCTAAACAATTAAATGGAAAATAAATACACAAAATAATCACAAATACAGAAATTCTGAAATACATGCAACTATTTCAATGAAACGTTATAGATCATCTGAAAGGTTTGAAGACTGGATTAATGAAAACTAGAGAAAACTTAAGATGAAGGTTTTAATGTTTCAGCTGCTCTGCATAGTCTCCATACACAGTTGACTCCATACACCTGACTCCATACACACGCATACACATTTGAGTATGGCACACAGAATATTCATACAACCATATGAAATTGTCAAAAAAGTTTTTGCTTGGGATGCTATTCAACTTCCGGATTACAGTTAAAATGCTGGTTACGTGATCATAGCGTTGACCCTTCCTGTGAAGTTCAATTTTCGGGAATAAAAAAAGTCACTCGGGGCCAAATCGGGTGAGTATGGAAGGCGGTTAAAAATCAGTTCACGCCTCTTCACTTGAAACTGCACCACAGCTCCATCCGTGTGAGCGGGACCATTGTCGTGCAGCAAGAACAAATCTCTCTCTCCTTCTATCGTTTCGTACAAACCCACCGAATCCTCTTTCCCGACTGAACCACGATACCCAGATAAAAATGGAAATATCATCTGCTACCTTAATTACAGTACTGACAACGCCTGGAAGATAATCTATGTAAGTTTTTCGGATAGACGGTGTACAATGTATTTTCCTAGTTAGTGTTGAAAAAGCTCTATTAACATGAGCTCTTGATATTAGAAGTAAACAAATCGATTAGCTATTAGAAAAAATATGTACAAACCTTCGAACTTGCATCGGCTTTGTAAACCTTTCTTCTCGTGTTACGATCTTCCAGTTTAATGCAATTTAGGTTACTTGAGAAGTAATAAAATACAGTTTCATTTTCTGGATTTGTGAACAAACTTTTTCAGAATTTAACTTACACTTGGAATAACTTGATTTTGCGAATTTCCAAACTGTGCAATCCATATTGATCATTTTTTCAAAAACTATCAGGAGTTCAACACAAAAAACAATTAAATATCTCAGCGAGAAATTTAAAAAACGCATTTAAAAATCTCGACATCCATTCTTCCTGCTTTTTTGCAAAGATTTTATTGCACAGGTATGAACACTACTACTCCTGAGCTGAAATAAGTTAAGTTATCACATTTGGCGCTTTAGCGCACAACTACGACTGATGTCCTGTTAGCCGAAACGTATCAAATATCAGTCATTATAGCCAAATATTTTAATATACAAATTTTTTAAACAAATTAATAGACTATGCAAAACTGATTTCTACAAATTTTTTAAACAAATTAATAGACTACGCAAAACTGATTTCTTTGACTTTACTAAATATTTCTCTTCCTTTTCAGGAGGGAATGACACAGCAGAATCTTACTCGCGTCCGCCGTTTCCAGAGAGAACTGGAAGCAGCAGAAGATAGAGCAGAGCAGGCCGAAAGCAACTTATCTTTCATCCGATCTCGTCATAGGACCATCGTTACCGGACCCGCAGCAGTCAAGCAAGTATTTGTAACTACCACCGAAGAATCATCCAGCAGTTCCATGACACAGAACTACTAAGAAGGAGAAAATGAGCTGAAAAACTCTTCTTGTTGTACTTATACGTGATTCCTTGTTTGTTACATTTACAATCCCCAAACTTTAGTCTGCTGTCTGACTCATATTTCAAGGCAAATTAGGATCTAACTGAAAGGGAAAATGGTTTGGAAACCATGATATTGCCTTATATTTATACATGAGGTACTAATGAATAACAATCGTATTTGCACTAGAATATTTCATTGTAATTATGATTATCATTCATTATATCTTGCAGTGCCGTAAATTTACGTGAAGGCCTTGAAGTGTGGGACAGCAACAGTCTGCAGATTTGACAAGTAAATTGTAAAAAGAACTGGCTCTTTTCAGTTCTTTCGATGTTAACTCTTGTTGTTCGTTTTGTGAATATTGTTTTGAACATTACACAAAAATAAAAGTACGTTTCCTTTTCTTTAGCTGTAAAAGTATAGTTAACAACTTTGATAAGTGCAGAACTATTAACTGATGTCTGTCTGTATACATTTTTTTCGCTTTTTTTTATATTAACATTCGATATTTCACGGTTGTATCTTCGGAGATTTTTATGCCTCAGCAATGTAGACAGAATTCTTGATTCTTTTAAGCTTCGGTAGATCATGTTCATTGCTCAGGCACGAAATATATCTTCAGTAAACGTGTAGGATGTCGTTTAAGATTGTTCAGTATAATAATGCATACACACATGCAAACAAATTATAAAGGAAGTTAATTCCGTCTTTCCCCATCAGCATACAGCCTTGGAAACAAGCTGCTCATTTAACAGAGAAATTCTGAGCTTGTTGTTTTGTGTATTTTAAAGCCTTGTGATTGTTTTCAAGTGTATCTAATTATCATTTCTGTAATTATTTCGGAATTGAAACATTATATTCTGTTATGTGTATCATTGGAAATATAGGTGAGTAGTAACATTCACTTAGCATCGCTTTCTTTTCTTGTATTTTGTGCAAGAAATACAGCACTTTTCTACTGAGCCTCTAACTTCTTCGAGAGGTTTTCTGCTCAGCACACGAGCTTCGGGAGTCTTTAATTGCTATTTAACGCAAGGATACGCGCTTTAATATTCTGATGCTTTTAAATGCGGATTTGTGTCATCTGCTGTTGCCTGCGAGAATGAATTATTATGAACTTGACATATTTAATCAACTTTTGCACGAGCTTTAAAAATTGGCTTTCTGTTGTAGTATTTTGCAAGATAATACTGCAGAATTAACGCTTAAAACAAAATTGCACGCCTTCTGGTTGCTATAAATGTGTCTTTCATTGCAGTTATTAACAGAATAAAATAAAATGTGTAGAAAAAACTTGTTTGTTTTTGTACTACTCATTTTTGGATTTGAATCATGCATCAGAAATGGATTTGATAATTAAAAACAAGAATCTATATGATGACTAGCTATATGATGATAGTCATATACTGCATTTATAGTTTATCTAAGATTTGGAGATAATCGTTAGAGCACTGGGAACTTAATGAAATACTCTAGTCTTCGAGTCAGTATAAATAATAGTCTTTCATCAACATTACTAAGTGATTGATAATTTAAATATATTTATGAGTAACATTTGTTAACTTTAAAAATTAACATTTAAGTGTATTTATGTAAAATTTTTCTGAAGCAAGTTGCCTTCTTTATTAGGAATTTTTATTCAATAAACACAGTTATTTGTATTGGAAGAGAAAGGTTTTTGGTTTCTTTGATTATGGTAAAGCACTCGAAGGCTATCTTCCAAAAAGAAGGAACGCCTTCGTGAAGGAATGCTAAGGCAAACTGCCTTGTATACACGTTAAACATTGCAAACATCCTGAAAACGCCCATATAAACCAACTCATTCTCCGTAATTCTAAATCTGGACCGAACTACCAGAATTTAGCGATTTTATCCTCAGCCGCTGATGGGTGAAAGAAAAAGGGATTTGTGTTGAATAAAATTATCGTATATATCCGTGTATAAGCCGAATGTTTTTGGCAAAGTTAATCATGAAGTTTTGGAGATAAGTTCATATAGGAGCTAAAACGAATTTATAAATAATTCGATTACAAGAGTAACATTATATAATTATAAAGCTAATATATCTGAATCAAATTTCTTAATATCGGAATTTTCTAGCACAATTCTTAGAACTCTTAGTCTGCTAGACCTAAGTCCGGTTAAATGCCATCGATTTCCATTTTACTATTAACATCGTTCTTTGACCGTAATATCATCTTAATAGCATTTTTCAGCAAAATTGAAAACTTTAAATTTAAAACTAATAGTAAATGCACTTCTTTTCTGTTCAGGCATCTTTAGCTAATCGTAAGAAAAGAATTTTATTTTACTCGTAAAAACAAGAATGCAGCAGAGAAGGAAAAAAATTATGTGATTGATTGAGAATAATTATCACGAGTAAGAAAAAAAAATTTAAATTCACCACGCTATAAGTGCAAAATGATACACATTGGGGGGGGGGCTCTCAAATTGGGATCACTGAAGAAGAAAACCTGTTAAGGTATAAATGTTTCCTTCACTCTGCAATACTCTCGTCCTTGAACTAACTGTGTTTGGTAAGCGTACCGCTCACCCACTGGTGAGCCTTTCCCGAAGCGAAAGCTTAAAAAGGTAAAAAAAGTTGAATTAATACTCTCCTTCAGCTTAGAAATAAGTTGGAACTCCTCTCAAGAGTTTGGGGCATGGAGGTAGGAAGTAAAACCTCCATGGTTTGAGAAAGAGACGTGGGAGACACTTGAACCGCCCAATGGGTGTTTTCCCTCAAAACTGGGGCGGAAGCTTAATATCTAGCTTAATATCTAGGTACAACAGTACTTCAATCAGCTATGGTACTATAGAGATGCTAGCCTAGCATCTGCCTGTAACTGTATAAAATAGAAGACAAATGTTTTGACACTTGGCGATATGTGTTGCTGGACTCATTGGGAAATTTAAATTCGGCTTACACATGCAGTCTCAATTTTGACCGAATTTTTGTAGCAAAATTTCACCTCTCGGCTTATACATAAAGTAGCTCATATTTATAAAACATGGAATATTTAATTTTGAGGCAAATTTGGTACTTTTTCTTTTGTTTCGAAACGAGCCGAGCTGTTTTTGCATATAGTTCGTTTAGTAGCAATTGTTTAACATTGCAGTTTGTAACATTGCAAAATTGCACTTGATAACTATTTCTTTCAGTTGGTAACACATTTAGAAAGCAGTTTGGTACCAGAACCTCGGTGAAATAATATCATTAACGGGAAAGTACTAAAACATTTCAGTATAGTAACGTCAGAGTATAATAACGGCAAAAATTATGCTGGTCTCAAATATGGAAGGATTCTGCATTCTTTTTAAATGTTTTATCAGAAAATTAAGTGTATTGCTTATAACAGAACCTTGATCATATGAGATATTAAACTAAAGGTTAATTAATTGGTCTACATACCATGCGAATGTAATTTCCAAAGCAATACATATTACTTGCATAATCAGGTCAATACAGTAGTTGTAGTTTTCTTCAATTATAATTAGTATTCTTTTATTTTAATTTTCTCTGCAGGTGATGTAGTTAGCTTTATAAGACAAATTATAATTGAATCAAGTTAAATCTTAGAAAACTGATTAAAAATACAACTATTAGAAATATTTTGTTGTTGTGACTTATCTTACCTATCTGATCGTAACATCAGACCAAGTCTACAAAGTTAATCGTGACAAGAAGCGCAAGATTGCGCCTGTCGTTGGCAACAGCCTTGAGCACCATCCAGGTGGCAGTGCGACTTTGCGGAGTTCCGCCCTCAATTATGAAGGAGAGCAGCATGAGGAAAGACGGGTCCGAAGGTCTCCTATCCCTTTTTCCCTACCACCAACGTCTCAAGCGGATCTTCGGCTCGCCGCATATTTAGAGTGCCCCCAAGCGGCACGGACCCTACACATTTACAAATATCCATGGACTTTTCCTGGGTTCAAGCCCAGGTCCTTCGGTACGGCAGTCAGTGGCACTAACCACTATCCCAGTAGGGAGGCTAGATATATTATTAATCTTATAAAATATTCTGATTTCTGAAATTCTACGGACGATAAAATGAAATTATATTACCGTAAATGTATTTAAAGTCATACATAAAGGAGCAGTAATTCAGTATATAATTCAATCAACATTTCAACGGTGGAGCGGTAAAATCGCTGATCACTGGTAGTTCCAACCTGGGTTCGATGACAGGCGAACGGGCTGGCTGTATGGGCGTTTTCGTGGTTTTCCCCATGTGCAATGTGTAAACGAACCAGTTTTCCTTAGAATGTCTAGTGTGCTTTGTCATAATGTATCAAACCGAGTAAATCAAAACCAATTTAACGTTCATCACTATAACAGATGGAAGTGTTTCACACAACTTCATTCTTTAATAATAAAAATTAAATAAAATATTTCGTACATCATGACATTTAGGGGTTTCTTATAATAACTATGTGTACATTAAATCATTTTTCCTTTTACAGGTAACAAAGTATGTATCGGTATCAAAAAATTTCTACTCCGTTAAACAGCAAATCGGAATTTTGCTTTACACCTCAATTAAATCAATCATCATTATTACAGTTGGCCATTTTCCAGACTTCGCCAAAAATGGTTATTAATTTAATCTATAAAGATCTTATTAAATTCATTCATTCGTTAATTAATTATCTATATAAATTTATCTACAAAATTTATCAACTTATCAATAAAGATCGTTTTATCTTATTTAAACCGAAATTATACGCCAAGGAAGCACTATGTGAAATAGATTTACAAAAATGAAGAACGTCAGTACTGATTTTTATCGGAGTAATATGGAAGTCATTGATACATATACAGATGGTACTGGCACTTCTCATCACAAGCAGCTAACTTTGAAATGTCATATTTTCGGAATTTTTAAACAGAAACAGAAATATTCCTAGATCAGAACAAGCGATTGAAGTTCCAGACAAAGTAGCATTAAGTTAGGGATGATAATCAGAGTATGATATCAGTGTTAAGTATTCATTTCAATATTTCCATTTTCTGAATAAAGGAATAACATTCTTCATGGCAGTGTGAGTAAGTTATAAATGCAAGATGATATGAAATTGTAATGCAAGACATCTAATTCTAAATCAGTTCAAATTCTCAAATGTCCTGTACATGAACTGTTTCAGCGGTTATTTGTTTGTAATATCATTAATGTAATGCTACGTGTTTAACGTGCTACATGATTTTAAACAGTCGGCCTTCGTTCATGTCATGTATTTTTAATGCAGTCTTCATAGTTTTGAAAGAGTTATTAGTACTAGTATCTATGTTATATACATGTTCGAGCAAACGTTCCGACTACGTGTTAGGAAGCCACATACGTACTTTGTTCTTAAAGTGGCCGTCGCATAAGCCTTTGGCGATATTTGAAATTTTCTCGTTACAGACCAGGCGATAAAGTCTGCCAGGTTTTGGCAACTAAGCGCGGTGATCGCTTTAACGAGGGAGTACTGGCCCCACGTTAATTTTGTGTTATTAAAAATTTAAAAAGTTAAACATCAGTTAAAGTCTACAAAAATAAATTATTAAATTATCAACAGCTCTTCAGCACTGTATTCAACAATCTGTCAATGAATTACTGTAAATTATATACGACAGTTCCTCACATCACCAAATACAGTCGAACGAAAAGGTCTATAAACTTTACTGATATGAAGAGAATTTTTCGCTTTTATTCAGCACTTGAGGACGGACTACGATGTGCTATTTTGGTGGAAGCTAGCCGTCCACTTTTGACTTGCGAAATATAATCCCAGACTATATATCTTATAAGTCCCCTTAGGTTGACTGGACGCTTATGCATCCTTGGATCGCCTCTAGGGGTTGGGGCGTTTAACCGTGTTAAGGTAAATTAAATAAATTAAACTAAGCCAAGTCTGCGAGCCCTTTCTCCCTAATGCAGTGTATAAAAAATTAGGTACTTACGTATCATCCCATCAACCGGCCAAGTAGTGCGATTTAGCGCCAATTATGGTTGACCACTTCCTTTAGAATTCCGTAGTAACCATTGACCACTGGTGACCGTGGCCAAAATTTCCACCAACGGTCGATGAGATAATTCGTAACTACCAAATTATACTACAAATTATAGTATAGGAATTATCTTATTTCCCCTGTGAGTGCTGTCGTAGTGTAAGTGGTAAAAAGGTCTAGCTAGCAAGTGAAAGATCCGTGGTTCGGATCTCGGCAAGATTATATAATGGCGTTCGAACTGAATCGTATTAGACGAGAACTCGTCATTACCTGAATTTAGTCGACTGGGTCTTATACTTCT